TTTTTTTTTTTTTTTTTTTTTTTTTTTTTTTTGACAAGTTCTATGATCATATCCCAAGGCCGTCGCGCTTTTGCAAAAAAACAAACAAACATAATTGCAAAAAAAAAACATATTTTATTATTTTTGTTTTTGTTTTTGTACAACAAAAGCTTTTCTCATTACGGGCCCGGTACCCAAAGCAAGGACATATATACAGTGTAACATATTGAATAAAGACGATGAATTTCATTATACAAAATCAGACGCTGAAATTCATTATACAAAATCAGATATATTGAATTTCATTACACAAAATCATTGCACCTTGATTGATCCTCAAATTTCTGAACATCGATTTCACGATGATTACCCCGCTGTCTGCTAGTTTTGTGAAGTGGACAAAAGATGCCACCAAAGGGGAAAAAAATAAAATAAAAAAAGGATGCCACCGAAGGAAAAAAAAAAAAAAAAAAAGAGACGAAAAAAGAGAGCTTTCAACGATGACGATAAGAAGTGTTAAGAACATACACAATCATAGACAAATGAAATAAATATTTCGTGTTTCCCTAGTTCACAGGCAACAAAGGACGTTTTTTTTTTTGTTTTTTTTTTTTTTTCAATCAACTACAACGTCCAAACATTCCGCCCGTCACTTTCACAGGGAGTCCAATTCACAATTCCTCAGCATCTTAGGGCTCCAGGCTTCTCGCCGAGTTCTATTCAGGTCGTCGTTTCCAAAATGGCAATGAAATTATATCATCAATCGCTCAAAATTCTCATGGGCTATCTGTGATGTGATTTCTATTTCACAATTCTGATCTGTACCCTGCAAAGTATACTGCTTATCACCATCTACCAGAATCCAAATATTACTACAAAAACTTCGTATCTCGCCCGCACATACAGCACCAGCTCTCCATCTCACATCCCAATTGCATTTAACTTGTCCATCTATGAATGTATGTATATATGTATATATGTATGTATGTATGTTTGTATGTGTATGTATCTGTGTATGTATGTATGTATGTCTGTCTCTGCCTCTCTCTCTGTCTCTGCCTCTCTCTCTCTCTCTCTCTCTCTCTCTCTCTCTCTCTCTCTCTCTCTCTCTCTCTCTCTCTCTCTCTCCCCCCCCCCTTTTTTTTTTTTTTTTTTTTTTAATTTTTAATTTTTTTTTTTTTTTTTTCCCCCCCCCCCCCCCGGCAGTCTCCGTTTGCAACCACGATGGGAAGAGCAGGAGCTCAAAGGCAGTCGCTCCAGCTATGGCACGTGCCCATCACGTTATGTGTGAGTTCATACTCGAGCTTGGAGCAATGGCTACTCACAGAGCAATCGACCACTATAAAGCTGCAAGCTCTGATGTCATCCCCTTTGAAACAACAAGGACAAGAACAATCGTTGGCGTTATCACCACCGACGTCACCATCCTCAACATCAATACCGTTGTCGTCATCATTGCCACCCTATCGGGAAAGAGGCAGTTTCCGGATTGGCACAGCTCCTCCTTGGGCATGCCGTCAACATCCACCCTCACAAGTGCGTCCTATTCATCATTGCCAAAAGCGGGCCGAACAACTAATGGAAGGTGACGAGCAGCGATCGTCGTCTTTCTGCTCGAGCTTATCGTCATCTGGCTACTCAAGCTGGACAGGTAGCGTACTAGAGAGGGCCTGGAGGTGCGGTTGCTCTGGATTCTTGCGTGCCCCAGCTGACATGGCAGATGACGTGGGAGCCAACTCAAGTAGTAGAGGAAGGATGATGATCAAGTCAAGGACTGCAGGTAACATCCATAACAGTCTTCTCAGAAACCGAGCGCACACGACATGTAGAGAGAGAAGCAAGGACGGATCGGCGAAGAAGATGCATAACAAGCAGTCTTCTCACAAACCGCTGCAATCACTTGAGCGAATGGCAGCGACAGAGAGAGCGGCATTTGAAGAGAGAGACAGGGCAGGGCTGAGAGACAGTGAGACAGGGGAAAGAGAGAGTTCACAGAGGAGGAAGCATCACATACCAGCTATGGAGCCCCCGACAAGTGCAGAAGTGAGGGAGAGATGGAGGGAGACAGGAGAAGACTGCAAGCCAGCAGAGAAGCGGAAAAGTGACGAGCCGTCTGCTAGGAGCAACAATGAGAGAGACGAGGTAGACGGGGATCATGGTCATTGGGCCAGAGATGATGGATGTCAGACAGAGATGATGGGAGAAGGAGAGAGAGAGGTAGACATGACAGAGAGCGCCAGACAGAGGTCATCGAGAGAGCAGAGCAATTTAACCTTGTACTGCCGCAGTGTTGCAGATGAACCACTCTCCGACAGTCATGTGGAGAAGACGGACTCTGAGGAGGCAAATGCAGGCAGAGAAGGGTGTGGGAATGGTCTGATGAAAGCAGCAGAGATGAGCAGTGTGGTGCCAGAGCACGGCATGGAGAAGACTGGGATCCCAACCAAGAGAGATGGAGACACTGGATGCAAGACCGTCAAGACAGAGCACAGGTGTACAGAAAGGGCGTTGGCGGGTGAGAAGGCGGAGACGAGAGTATTAACCACAGAAGAACAAAGGGGACTTGGGTGCGGTGACAAGGAGAAGATGAAAAGGAAGACGGAAGGAGATGGGGAGACATTGCCGGGAAGGAGAAAGAGCTGTGAGAGTGAATCTCCCGAAGATCTTCCGAGGGCTAAGCACAGCACTCACTTGGAGGAGAGAGCAACGGGCATCAAGGAGCAGAAGGCGGAGACTCCGGAGAGGAGAACGAACAAAATGATGGATTCAGAAGTGGAGAGAGGCGATCGGTCGCATCAAGATGGGAGAATTGCAGAGCTGAGAGTCAGAGGGATGAGAAAAGGCCAGAGCGAAGATGGAAAGACAGCAGAGCATGAACTACGGAATTGCACCAAAGGTTATGAGATGGCGAATGCCACTGTGTCCGCAAACTCACTCGTCAACGACCCGATTGCCAGCGCCTCGCTGAGGACGGACGAGCAGAACTTCAAGAAGGATGAGAGGGAAAAAGACGGGAAGGGCAAAGAAAAGGCAGAGGACGAGGAGGAGGAGGAGGAGCAGAAGAGGAAGATGAACAAGGATAGAAAGGAGACAGGGAAAGGCCAAAGAAATATTTGTACCTGCGCCCATTGCTCCAATAGTTACACTCCCATGGCATCAAATTTCGATGTCCTGTGCCAGCGGCGACAAACGTCACAAGAAGCGGATCTGATTCAACAGAGATACAGATACTACCCCCAAGCCCATATCTCCTGTGACTGTTGGATAAAGGTGAATGTGAGGCAGGTTGGCTTCTATCGGGTGTGCTATGATGATGAGCTAATGGTGCATCTGGTCAATGCGCTTAAGGCAGGTCAGCTGGCTCCCTCCGATAAATTTGGTGAGT